TGAAAAAAATTCATAAGATTAAACAATGAAATCGACGTATGAGGGTGGTTTGTACAAATGAGAGTGGTTTTCATTTGATCGCTCCTATATATATATATATATATATATATATCGGAATAAGGTTCGTCGAATAAGATTTGTCGGATAGATGAAAGAGGAGACATTATAGTGGATATTTATAAAATCCTTAAAATGCTCTTAATTAATATTTTAAGTTAAAATTACCAAAATTATTAATTTTTTAATTTAACCCTTGATTTGTGGTTGAGATTGAATCTCACGATTACCACAAACAAAACAGTTCTCATTTTAGACCCTTATATATATATATATATATATATATATATATATATATATATGGGACCATTCAAGGGAACACTGATTAGTTTGTGGTAACTGTGAGATCCAATCTCAACCACATATCAACGGATAAATTAGAAAATTATTAATTTTGGTAATTTGAGTTAAAATTATAATTAGAGGGCAGTTTAGGTATTTCTAAAACCTCCTCTCTCTTATCTCCTCTCTCCTCTCACCTCTTACCTCTCTCCGACCTCGGATCTCCAACATTCAATGAACATTATTCCGACCGGTACCAAGTAATCATTGTGATACACAATGTGATACCCATTGTGGTATCACTGTGATACCATTGTGATACCAACCCAAACCTTAAAAACAAAATTAAATCCATAATCTAAATTTAAGGAATACATACCGATCATCCACGTTGTGATACTCAAAATACATACAAGATGCAATGTGATACCCAATGTAGTACCACTGTATTACATATCCGATCGACCACACAAATGACATCAGTGTGATACCCAAACACATATATGATGCATTGTGATACCATTGTAGTATCACCGGAGGACGGGGGACGGAGAGAGAAGAGAGGAAAGAGGAGAGTTTTAAAATACCTAAAATGTTCTTGTATTAAAATTTTAATTCAAAATTACTAAAATTATAAATTTCCTAATTTATTTATTGATTTATGATTGAGATTGGACCTCACGGTTACCACAAACTAATCAGTTCTCATTTGATTAGGCCCCTATATATACACACACACTATAATATAAAACATTTAACAAAAACTCTAAAAAACCATTTTTTATGCATTAAATACTATTTATTGATGCATATTATTTAAAACTTAAAATTACAAGTAAATTGTGCGTAAGTACAACTTAATAAAGCTTCATGTTTAGATTTATGTAACTAACTGCGGATAAACATGATTAAATAGAGGATAAACATCTCATTTTAAATATAAAAAATCTAAAATATAATTAGGATAGTCATTGACTTTTAACAAAATATTTAATTATTATCTTTATAAAAAAGTTTATATTATTAAACGGAAGATAAAAAACTAATTAAGGAAATACACAAAAAATGGAGAAATTTTAAATAGTTAGTTTGATACTAATATCAGTATTGTTTTTCAATTTTTATCATATCTTCATATTTATATTTTATTTAAAAATAAAAACATTACGTTTTCTCAAAACCACATAAAACTGTATTATGACTTCGACTGACACAAAAAACAAACATTGAAATCGAGATGTATTTCGTTGCATTGTGTGAGTACCCTTATAGTATTATAAAACATTTGACAAAAATTCTTAAAACCCATTTTTTATGCATTCAATATTGTTTATTGATGCATATTACTTAAAATTCAATATTACAAATAAATTGTATGTAAGTACAACTTATTAAAGCTTAATGTTTGAATTCGTGCAACTAAGTGCAGATAAGCATAATCAAATAAAAAAATAAACATCTCATTTTAAATATAAAAAATCTAAAATATAATTAGAATAATTATTGAGTTCTAACAAAATACTTGATTATCATCTTTATAAAAAGCTATATTATTAAATAAAAAATGAATTAAAAAATACACAAAAAAGGAGAAATTTTAAACAGTTAGTTTCGTACTAATATCAATATTTTTTTTCAATTTTTTATGATATCTTCATATTTATATTTTATTCAAAAATAAAAACATTATTGTTTTCACAAAACCACATAAAACCCTATTATTAATCAACCGAGACAAAAAAAACATTAAAATCAAGATGTATCTCGTTGCATTATGCGAATACCCTTCTAATATATATATATATATATATATATATATATATATATATATATATATATATAGGTTGGTTCAAATATATACTAACCAAGAAATCTGTGTTAACTATACTAACCAAGATTAACCAATCATATTCTTTCTTTACTTTATGTTCAAATGTAAATTATAAATTAAATATAAGGGTGATTATGTAATTTGACCTTTATGTAACTCCCTAATAATTAATTGGGAGTTACAAATCTTAAAGATCTCTCTAATTGATCATTAGGTAATTCTGATTTTTATCTTCATTTGTGTTCATGATCGTGATTTCAAGTGATGTTCTACATATAATGATATTCGTTTTGTAAGTGTAAAAGATTTCCGTATCGTCCGAGTAATATGGATAATGCTATTGTAAATCATATTGATAACAATGAAAATGACAAAGTTAAAATCGGATACGACTACGATCGGAATTCGAATTCCGATGAAGAAGATGATCAAAGCGTTCCGATTGGTAAGTGTTTAGTATGACATTTATTTTGTTTAAATGAACAGCTATTACCATTGTGAACCATTAAATATTCTTGCAAATATAGTTGAATTCGTTGAAAAATCTGATGCACATTTTGCATCTGCATTTGTTTAGGGATTAATTTAGTTGATAGAGAAACATATATGAACAGATTATAAGAGATATGGACACCCATTAACACATATGAAACTGCACAAATCAAATAGATATAGATGTTATGATTCATTAGTGTTCAGCTGTATGAAATGCATTAGATTTTCATATTGACACAAATGAACAATTACATCACATATAAAGAGATACTAAGATATAAGGACACACACAACATATGAACACATAGCAAAGGTAGAATATGTGGATATCGATACATATGCACAACTACATCACATGAATATGAACAAGATTTTTGAGTAGTATGTCATGTCGTTGTTCATATCGATACATATGCACAACGCGTTCACATGAACATGTGATCAAGCTCTGTGATTCATGTGAACAACGCCTTTTTACATTTTTACCCTATGAATCCATTGTTCACATATTATTAATTAATATATTAATTAAATTCTTATTCTCAGTAAACCACAATCGTTAGATGTTCAAATCAACGACCAAGATCGGTTAACAAAGTTAACACGATAATCTCGGTTAGTATTTGAACCAACCCCTATATATATAGGCCAAGATCAAATGCTAACCATCATTTTTGTGTGAACCTTATTAACTGATCTTGGCCATCCAAATCTATAATCAACGGTTAATATTAATCAATAAAAAAATTAAATTTTAAAGTTTGAATTTTAATGAGGCCTAGTGAACAATGATGAAAGGGGCATTTTGGGAAAAAAATATACTTATCAAGGGTATTCTAGTAAATTAAATTCATTTGTAACCCCCAAACAATTAATGGGGAGTTACAAACAATCAAATCCCAAAAAATATGCATTCATATTATTATTATTTTTTTACTATTGATTTTCCATGTTCATTCTTATATGAATTCCTAAATCGCATAAGAAACACGGTAGTAACAATTTTCGGTATTGATCAATTTGAACAAAAATGAACAACCATGAACACAGTTTGAACATAAATGAACCGTGAACACGATATGAACACAAATGAACACGATATGTGCAATTTTTGGTCCATATATTCACATACATAGACGTCCCACAAAATTAAGGTAGCATCTGTTAATTTGTGTTCATCTGTTAATTTGTTCAAATTGTTGTTCACGGTTCATTTGTGTTCAAATTGTGTTCACGGTTGTTCATTTGTGTTCACGGTTCATTTGTGTTCAAATTGTGTTCACGGTTGTTCATTTGTGTTCAAATTGTGTTCACGGTTCATTTGTGTTCAAATTGATCAATACCGAAAATCGTTACTACCGTGTTTCTTATGCGATTTAGGAATTTATACAAGAATGAACATGAAAGATCAATAGTAAAAAAACTTTTAATAATATGAATGCATATTTTTGGGGATTTGATTGTTTGTAACTCCTCATTAATTGTTTGGGGTTACAAATGAATTCAATTTACTAGAATACCCTTGTAAGGGTAAAAGGAACAAGACATAAACCTATAATAATAATTGAATCTGATTGGTTGAAAGGGTTTTCAAAGTTAACACAAAAATGATGGTTAACATTTGATCTTCCTCTCTCTCTCTCTATATATATATATATATATATATGCACCACAAATCAAATAGAAACCCGCTAAAAACTACAAACCGTAAAAACCAACTTCATGTATTTTTTTTATAGGTGAAACAATACATATGAAAGCCAAACTCGTGTAATCAACTACTCGCATCCAACGAGTTTAATTCTAAAGCTATGACTCATGTATCCTCTTACTCCACATGTTTTCGTTTATAATAAGATGTATAAACTAATATAGTATCGGGTGGTGGGACAAAAAAGGGATTGGACATGTGATTTATATTCGACACAGATGTCCAGTTTAACATAAGTAACATGAATGAAAAAATGACCTTACAAGAACACCAACAAAACGACTAGAGGAAAAACAACACTAAACCTTATGAAACTAAGTTTATATGTACATGAAGCTCCTCCATACACAATTTTACACGAAACCGCTTTCAGTCATCCAAGGGCGCCATCGTCTTTCTGTTTTGATGATTTCATACGTCCTGAAGGCCGAAAACATATCACGAGTAGAAGACGTAACACATATGAAGAAACTCCCAATATATATAGATATGGTTCGGGTGACTTTATGTCAGCAGTTGTGGGTGGTTCCGATAGGGAACGATGAGAATAGATAATATAATTACGAAGAAAATAAAAGAACGAATGCGCAACCAATTAATCGACGGTTTCATTTGGTTAACCAATTAATCGACGGTTTCATTTGGTTTAACTAGTTTCTTTTTCAAAGCGGCCATTTCTTTTTCGTGTTCTTTCTTCAGGTAACTTTGTGCAGTTGAACTAACAATGGTGGAAAAGAAGTTCAATAGCATCAGCCATATGATGGTGTTCCAAAGTGTAGCAAAGGAAAGATCCCATGATTCCACCTGAGAAACATGTAGATTAACCAAAACAGACAAGTCTTGATATTCGGCAAAACGATTGTTATAATAGAAAAGAAAAGTTGTTAACCTTGAAGTTTGACGATTCTGTAGGAGGGGCTGCCATATATTTATCCTTTACCGCATGCAATTTTGCTACGACTCCCGGCAGGACAGAAGCAACACCAGGGATGAAGCTAAGTGTCCATATCAACTCAGTTTCTATCCAGTCTAGAAGTTGATTGTTGCAGACTAAGATGATGAATATAGTCTGCAAAAGGGTTACTACTGATTAGTTATATTCATTAGGAAGGAGTAGATGAACTAAAACTAGCAGAATTTGAAGAAAGACGAAATAACCATTGAAAACCTGTATGTTAGCTTTCATGAATGCCTTCCCAATAACTGTTGCCAGAAAAAACTTCCAAAATGGAATCCCAAATTGCCCACACATTATGCCAGCAAGGTCAAAGAGAGGATTTGGTACCTACAAATTGCTTCAGCTAATTAATGTAATTGGGAATCAAAAAGCAGCCAATGAGAACCCACAACTCAAACTGAACCATCAAAACTAACCGAAGCAAGCAGTAGAATTGTGAAGAAGTTCAAATATTGTGCATGTGACAGGAACCAGCGCTTTAATTGATTTGTGTTTGAAGGAGCTCCATCAAGTTCTTCTATTTCATCTCCTTCACTACCGGAGATACTTGCTGCATAAAGATGTACTTGTTTGTAAGATAGAAGATGGGAACATTCTTGTCATGAGAGATGACTTGTCGAAACACTGCGAAACTGACTAACATGGTTAAAATCAAAATCGATTCAAATCATCTTGTTGCTCTATACACGTTGTACAGAGTAACAAGAGTTAACAATATAAGAAAAAAAGAACCTCATCTGAACTTCCATTAACATTTCCTAGCTAAGCCAGTTCATTTCAGTTTAGAAATTCAAAAAATTCAAAGCATGCACATAAAAGCAACTTCGGAAAGGCAAAGCAACGTAAGAATACATGTAAACCTGATTTCTGACAAACCTGCCCTTGAAATAAAATATGGAGGGAGCTCGCCGATTGCAGTTCCAAAACCCCATAGAATAGCTTCTAACTGAAGTTGTCCTAAAATGCTACTAACCGGAACCTCATGGCCATCTGGAGATGAAAACATCGGGGGACCAAACTCTGAACAATCCTTCTGAAGCCATGTAGGACTTCTGTTTAGTTGTATTGTATCATATGGAGCACTTTTGATATCCACTCGACCACACTGCATTGCTTTCATTGTGAAGAAAGCAATGTGGGGACCCAGATACATGACAAAAGTGTGCAAACCAGATCCTGATCAAACAGAAGAAAAAAATAAGAAAAGAAAAATAAAATATGGGTTTAGATGCAATATGACAATTCGCTTGATCGTCGCACAAGTTTTCCGGCATGTCTTAGGTCCTATTTTAGTCGGAAGATGATATATCGACATTATCTCACACATATTGTGCCATAGTCTTGTATTTCCCTCCACAACTCTGTATTGGATCTTGACACGGCATTTTGCTTTTTTACTTTTCCACGAGACCGAATTCCCCTCCAACAAATATACAATATCCGTAAGTGGATCTTCTATCCATTTTGGAACGCCTAACAATGGCGGATCTAAAACTCAGGTGATCCGGGTCAAGGAGTGTCAAAAAATTTCCAAAACTGAATAACCCTCCTGAACGAAAATAGTTTTGTGGTTAAATGGTTTAGGTTTCAGTTATTCTTTTACTACAGCGGTCAAATTGAATAGCAAATTATACCATAATTTTATATCTAGATAATTGGTTTGAGGCTTTGAGCATATAAAACAATTAACATAGCATAAACCATTTTTATGTTATAGCTAAATTAACAAGATATTGAGAATGAGATGTATTTAATAAAACAATACAAAAGAACTAGATTTTGAGATGCCTAATCTTGAATGGTTTAACAAAACAATATACAAGATATTGAGATGAATTTATTTTTTTTGGTTTTGGTAGGAAAAAACATCATGTATGGGTCTTGTAAATATTGAATGGGTTCTTTAAGCATAAAACTAAGTCATTTTATAAGGGCAAAACGAATTTCTAAGTTAAATATTGCTTCTTTTAACTTTAAGAGACCCCATTGATTTGTATGTGGGTCAGCCATTGACACCTACCCAATCTACATCTAGAAAACATTCAATATGGCTATAATTTTCGAGTGCTCTTTTCAACTAATGGAAATTTGTTTTAGCATGGCCCAATGATGAACCATAGGAGATGACATAAACTAACCACCCGCGCTAACCGAATAGGCAATATCAAGATGTGTCATTGCAAGATAATTCAATTTCCCAACCAACCTTGATATCTCTCAAGATCTTCGACTAGTTCCCCATCTCTTGTAAGGCGCATTGGAGCACTACAAGGTTATGCTCCCAATTTTCCTGTTTGGGTTAATATTATGGGAGGCTAGAATCAATCCCCGTTTTACATGATGAAGAAAAAAGGACATGTAATGGATGTTCCGAAGTTGGTGACACACGTAACACGAGAATATAAAGACTTAAGAGTGATTCCTGATATTTTGAAAAAGCCACAAGTTTGTTGGCATAAATAAGGACTAATTTATCACATAAATCAGTTGTTGATGTGTTTTTGGTTGAACAGTAAGATTTTGATAGAGCGGTGTGACTGCTATAGCAATGTCGTAGTATATTCCTTGATGCCGGCTTGGACGTGGAGGACCGGGCCCTAATGTTCTTGGAGGCCCATGATCGGGCTAAAAAACAGGGTCGCGCTTAAAAGGCCATAACTCTCGCTCCTGGTGTTCGTTTATGGCCCACGACCAGTCGATTTGAAGCCTGGAGCGAGGAGGGCCTAACTGACTTTTCAACCCCGAAAATGCTGTTTAAGCATGGTTTTTAGAAATTTTCGTGTTTTTTTTATTTATTTTTGGCATTTTCGTTGGGCTTTTTGTGTTTGACCCATGATCGATTTCGGCCCCTTTTTTTGGGCCTTCTGTTTATATGTTTCATATGAAAACTGGATGGTCACATTGGAATTTGACAGGCTTCGAATTTTCCTTCCCAAATTTTGAGTTCTTGTGAATTCGACTTTTGAAGCCTAGGATTCGGTATTCATCGAATCAAAGAATCCTAGAAGAGGTTATTCCACAGATATTCACATAATCAACATGGTGATCTGTAATTTTCATTCGTATACGCTGCATCATTCCTATAGCAGCTGATCCTTGAATACTGAAGACTTTGGAAGCTTTTTTTAAGATAACCAAGGATGGCTTTTTCATTAAAATATAGGAGCAAGCCTCATGCTTTTCATTTGTCCAATGGTTTTTTACCTTTTGTGTTATCTCCATGTTGACTACAAAAGAGGGTTTGTAGTAGAAGAGAAAGAGAAAGGAGTTGGTTTGTAGAACCACTCGTAAGGAGGAAAGTCATTTTAAACTTTCATTTTACTTTCATTGTAAGTTATTTGTTTTTAGTAATTTACTTGTGCTTTACTTTCATTGTCCTTACTTCTCGCAAGCATTTCACTCAAGTCTTTGATGCAAGGAAACCGAGCAATGATAGGCTAATACTCTTAGCTTGGATGTAAGAGGATATTGAGAATAAAACCATGTGAAGGTGGAAGTTGTTTCTCAATAACAATTGTTTCCATCAATTCATTCAAGATTATAAAGAAAACTTATGCTCATTGACAAGATGATCACTTGTTATAAGTGTAAAAGTGTGATAGACATAGAGATAAGTCATCTAGAACACGTCAACTTGGATGACATGGGAGTAGACTCGAGAAGGTTGCTAGAAACATAGATTTGTCCCGTCCATGTATTTTAAGGAAAAGAATTGTACCATGATGGAGTTTATGCCTTACATAGAGATATGAAGGTTTAATTCATTGATAAGTGCCTTCCTAAAACTTGAGAGAGTATCCTTAATGTAGATGGTAGGTAATTAATGCTATTGTTATAGGAACATCATATTTGTATGTTGGAAATGCATGTTTGCTCCTTTTTTAAATACTTGTTTACATCTGTAGCTTTTAATCACCTTCAAAATTATTTCTTCAAATTCGCCATCTGAATTTAGCTTTTCACCTTGACATCTTGCAACTTAAGATACCTATCCCTGTAGAACATGATACTTGGTTCTTACCATATTATTACTTGAATGACGATAAAATTGACACATGTATACTTACATGGATTACATCGGTGTAATAGTGTACATCCATATGAAGAGAGAGATCAGTTGTATTAACCGAATGCAAATAAGAGAGATCCATACCACCGAACTCTTCCCATATTAAGTTACAATGTACTTACAATCACAAATGGATCACAAAACAGCAAAAGAGAAGCCAATGATTCGTGTTCTTTCTATTTTTGTGAAGAAAATTGAACTTTGAATTTGTCAAATGAAATTAGTTCTCAGCACCGACCCGCTTTAGCTGATTTGCTTATCCGTGAACTCGCTATGCAACCTCAAGTCATGCACCAAGGTTTCCTGGTCCTAAATTTGCTTCTATGTGAGCCGAATTTCAAACACCTTATATCACATTCCCAATATGACAAGGTTGCATTTTATGTAACCAAAGACTCAACCTATTCCATGCCAATGTTAAGGTCGGAAAAATTGTACTAGAAGGTTTATACTGGAACTCAATTGTTCTATGCGACTTGCCAAGCAACCTAAGGTCGCAGGTCAAGGTCATGCGAACAAGGGAGGTGTGCAACATCCATATTCAATATCATTATTGATTTTTTTTCATACAATTTCTTCCTATCCAATTTGGCGTTATAGCATTTGGACCTTATCACGTACTCTTAGTGTTTGGAGGGTATGGAGAAATTGTCAAAGATTCCATGTGAGAGAAAAGAATTAGCCTAAATTTAGTTGAAGGGGTTGATCTCAATGGTAAAATGCCTCTCCCCGTTTGCATTGATTATTATATAGAACTTGGTGCCACTCAACGTGATGACAGATTGTAACCATGATTCCCAGGTGATAACATTATCACGTAAGGTGAAAACATGACCCATGGTGGATTTCCAACTGACATGATCACCGACATAGTCAGAATCACAATACCCGACTATTTTGCTTCTATCACACAACCTAAAAATAGCCATGAGATGTTCCCTTCAAATAGAGAAAAATCATTTTCAGACGTTGCCTAATGTTACCCACTCAGATTTGAGAACATCTGGTTGACCAGCCCAACACAATGTGCTAGATCAGGACGAGTGCATACTATAGCATACATAAGACTCCTAATTGCATTAGCATACGAAAACGTCTCCATCTCAGCCTCTCCCTTGTCGTTGCAAGACAATCATCCTTCATGATCTTATGTGCAACAGTAGCATTATGCTAATTCCATTTGTACCATCAAGATTGAACCGTTAGAGCACTTTTCGAATATACTCTCCCTACGTTATAGTAAGTGTAGGACTTTGTGTCCCAACCAATTTCCATGCTTAGAATCTTCTACGCCTTGCCAAGGTCTTTCATTTCAAACTTTAACTTCAATTGTTGATTTCAGAAAGGTCCTCGTAGGCTTTAACCTTAGATAGGTCCAAATACGACCATATGTGCAGTAATAAACACAAGCATGGTTTTAAAAATCGGTTGAGGCGTACGCCTCAAGGCTTGGCAGCTAAAAACGCTCATAAGGTGTCACCTCTCACTACTTGTATGGGAGGTACGCTCTGCAAAGGGGATGCAACGATTGAGCGGTAAGCGGTGAGGCGTGGGAGAGGCATGCATTTTGTTTGGTGTTAAAAGTGTCAATCATTTCCTTACTTATTCAACCTACCCATCTCATGGTTCTACATTCTCTATTTCTGAGTTGTAGTAAAAAATGGCAAAGTATATAATATTTCCTAAAGTCTCCCACTTTGAAGAAGTAGGTGTATTTTATATATATATATATATATATAGGGGAGCGATCAAATGCAAACCACTCAATTTGTACAAACCATGCAAACCGCATTCAACCAATCATAATTTTTCATTTTGTTCATTTTTTTGTAATTATGAGAGGTTGATTAATCATTTTTATTGTGGAGGGTGTTAATCATAGATATTATCATCTTCATAATTTTAATTTTAGAGAAATACATGAAACAGTTTCATTAATGTTAGAGAAATACATGAAACAGTTTCATTAAGTATTATATGAAACAATTTCACAAGATTAAACAATTTCATGAAAAAATTTCATAAGATTAAACAATGAAATCGACAGATGAAAGTGGTTGCACGGTTTACACAAATGAGGGCGGTTTTCATATGATCACTCTCTATA